CTAAAATATAATAACATCCATTGAAATTAAGCAAATAATAGTATAAGATTTTGAGCATAACTATCATGATATCACAAGTTCATAATAAAATTTAAAATATGTAATGAAAAATATTTGTATTTTTTAGTTTTTTACGAGTTTGTGTCATGTTCGGGTTAAGCGAGTCCAACCCAAAATTGACACGTGTTTTTCATGTCAATTTTCAGGTCGACCCAATTCTGATCCAAACATCTTTTTTCTCAACCCTAACCCGCAAAATTCGTGTCGTTTTCGAGTCGTATTGTCGTGTCGTGACCCATATTACCGGCCCTAAGATCAAACGAGAAAAATGAGTATCTATATTCACCAAAAATGAAAACTTAACAAATTAAAAACTTTAAAATAACCAAGTTCATAAGAAACCCAAGACCAAAGGTTCGTTTGGTACGAGGATTCAAACCAGGGTGATTCTAATCATGATTCTAGAACTAGAACCATGATTCATGATTTTAGGTTCAAATCATAATTCTGAAACCATAATTCAGAATCAGGGGTTTGAATCACCTTGAATCAAGAAGGGAGGTGGTTTTAGAATCATGATTTGAGTTGGTTTAAAACATCACATTAGATTCAGAATCATGATTCCGAATCATCCAAATCAAACACTGATTATGAATCGTGATTCAGAATCACTATAAATTCTGAACCAGGATCCAAAATCATGATTCTGGATCTATTTACCAAACGCACCCCAAATATTTTGGAATTGGATTAGAAAAAACCCTTTCGTTACTTAGGGGACGTTTTTTTTTTATATTCATCCCTGATTCTAAATCATGATTTATGATTCTCTACAGTATTTTCTTTCACAAAAAATACACGTAAAACGAAAATAGTTCTGAATCATGATTCTGAATACATAAACCAAACGTCATTTTAGAGATCCATAATACACATTTAATAAGTGGGGACCTAAGTGCAATACTTATAAAGGTAGGCGATTGGAGCTGCAAATTTCCTCAACATGTGTCTCGTCATTTAGGGTTCGTTTGGTATGAGGATTCAAATCAGGATGATTCTAAAACTATGATTCAGAATGAGAGGTCTGAATCACCTTGAATCAAGAAGGGGGTGGTTTTAGAATTATAATTTGAGCTAATTTAAAACATCACATCAGATTCTGAAACATAATTCAGAATCATTTAAACGAAACACTAATTATGAATTATAATTCAAAATCACTGTAAACAAATACTGATATTAAATTAAGATTCAGAATCATGATTCTAGATTTATCTATCAAACGCACCTTAAGTATTTTGCTTTTTGTACTTATCAAAAACTCAATTAAAAAAAAAATGATTGGCGAAGGTGGATGGGCTTTCACTCAACACGAGAGCAGGCTATGTGCCTTTTTCAGTGACGCATGTGTATGGCCAGCACAAATGTTTTATGTTTGTTTCCAGAAAGGAAAAGGTTGATTTTTTTTTTTTTCTTTTTTTGGTAGCTGGAGAAAAGAAAGAAAGAAAATAATTTGACTCAAAAGAATATTCCTTTCCGACTTGGCGACGATGAGGATCATTCTTTTCACTTGCTACTTGTTCGGCTTCAAAAGGCAGATGGACCCGGGGCCAACGTGACAATAGTAGTACAAAATAGATATTTTCATTGAAAAGGAAAGGCAATTTTCGAGCTCGTTTGAGTAGATGATTCATTTTCTGATTCGAATTATGATTTATAATTTATTATAATATTTTCTCTCATAAAAAATACACGTAAATAAAAAATGATTATAATTTCATAATTCTAATCCATGAATCAAACGTGCTCTCCATGTCTGAAGAAAGAGAAAGATAATGCAACTCTAGGCTTGCTTACCCAGATCAAAAAAAGGAAAATGGGATTCACTTTAGCGATGGTTTCATTAAGTTGCACGATCTACTCATCAGATAGGGACCCATTATATGTGAGTAATCTGGAGCTTTATTCTTTTAGTAAATTATTGACTAGTTCGGTGGCACAGTACTGATAAGACATTTAGTTTATGGGTTCAGAATCATGATTCGTGATTCTAATTTTTGAAATTTAAATTTTTCGTGAGAGAAAAATACTATAAAGAATCAAGAATCATTATTCAAAACTAAAGACGAACCCTTAAAACAAACATCTCATAAATAATTAGTTCAATCACTTGTTAATCTTAGATAAATCGTTGTTTAACCAAATGTTAATTAGTGATATATATTAAAATTAAAGAGTGACCAACCCAAGATCATATGATTTAACACTGATATCATTTTTTCATCTTTCTTCTCTATCTCTTCGGCCATCACCCTTAGCCCGCCCCTATTATCGATGTGACCACTCCGTCATTAATACTGCCGAAAGTTACATGGACGTTTGGTTAATAAATTTAGAATAATGGTTCAGAATTATTTTTGATTTATGTGTATTTTTTTGAGAAAAAATATTGTAATGAATCACGAACTATAATTCAAATCATGACACGAATACACCAACTAAACGCCCTTCTCTATCTCTCCGGCCACCACCCTTAGTCCTACCCCTATTATCGATGTGACCACTCCGTCATCAATACTGCTGAAAGACTAACATATCAACGTAGATTGCAGAACTCTTGTAAAAGCCCCCAAAAATGGCAACTTATGATGAAGACATTGTTTAGATTATCACGTGAAAGTTTTCTTTTAGGTTTATTATATTATGTGAAAGCTTGAATTCGTGGTCCCGTATCAATTGTGCTATTTAGGAATAACTCCTTCCATCAAAACTGTTGTCCTATTAGGTAACATATTGGGTTATTTTGGGAATAACTAAAATTTTATTAATAAGGGGTTTTGGATTCCCGCACAATCTAAAATTAAAAACAGCAAGTGAGCTATTTCTAATTTCAGCTGAAAAAAAGCTTTTAAATTCTCTAAGAATCCGGTTTTATGTGTTTACCAAACACATTTTTTAACTTCAGCTAAAAAAAAGTGATTTTGGCTTCCCAAAATTCCTACCAAACTAAACCATTACTTAAAAGAATCAGACATTTTTTGGAGAGCCATAGCGTTATTACAAAAAGTAACTCTGCAGTAGTTTAAACTTGGAAATAGACTTTTTTAGACAAACAAAAAACAAACAACTTGGAAATGAAAGAGAGAGAGTTTGAAATAAGAAAAAAAAAACGAGGGTTTTGAGTCTCTAATTTAACTTTTTTTTAAGTATGATGCATGTTTTGTCGAACTCTAAACTTCAAGGGTAAAACTGTGCATTGATTCACCATTAAATTATGCTTATAATTATATATATAAAAAATATGAGTGAATCCTACCATACCTTATGATCAAAAACTCTGACATGCAGCGTTTTTCTCTGAATCCTACCATACTTGATCTTTTGCTTATTAGCAAAAAAAAAAAAAAAAAGGTAATGAAACGTTTTGTTACAATACCAAAAACACCCATTTAATTTTAACGATGTGTAATCGATAATTAAACATTTTTTTTTTTACGGTGGAACACTTTAAAAAACCTACCGGTGTGAGTTTTTTTTTTCACTCTTATATTTGTTTTTCAACGATTAAATTTGCAGTATGAATAGTTTTTTATGACACGTTATAAATTTTTTAATACAGACCTTAACAGATTTAACTGCTGAAAAATTAATTTAACAATTAAAAGTGAAAGTCTCATTGATGTTTTTTTAAGTATTTCACCGTAAAAGTTGTCAAATAATAGATATTATAGCAAAAAATAAATACACGAGAAGATATTTTATTTATGTAAACTATAGAGCTCATTAAAAAAAAACTAGTAAAAAAAGATTTTTAGCACCATTGTTATCTAAATTTATCGTGATACCCTTAAAACTTTAAGAGCTCGTTTGGTGGGAGGATTCGTTCTCTGATTCGAATCATGATTCATGGTTCGCTACAGTATTTTTTCTCACAAAAAAACACACGTAAATCAAAAATTGTTATAATCTATGAATCAAACGGGCTCTTAAACTTCATTCAATTCGTTAATTTTAATTTTCAATTTAAATTAAGATGTGATTTTATATAAAATTTTTTAATTATAATAGAAAAAATTAAATATAAATTTTTTAAAATTTTTTTAATTATAATAAAATTAAATTAAAAATTTAAATTAGTGAAATGACATTAATTTATTTTTGTAATTTTGGCGAGGTCTTTTATTTGCTAGGATAAAAAATTCATAAAAAAATAAAAATAAAAATAAAATAAAAAAAACTAGTAAAAAATTAGGTACCGCTATTTCAGAGCCTTACGTTTGTGATCCCCAAAGCGACAGCTGAATCCACGTGGCGTAAGAGGATTTCCCGTTTGTGGAAAGCACCAACTTCAGATTTTTCGATCTTTAAAGACGGACAGACGGACGATGCACAATGGGAGAGAGGTCCTCTCCGGTGGGTCCCACTCCCACACCTCCCCATGCAATTCCCAATTCTCCTCTGCACACGTATCACCTCAGCTCCCAATTCGCTCCCTTGTCAGTTAGCGCTCTCTCTCTGTTTTTTTTTTTTTTTTTTAAGTTAAAAGAGTTTTCGAATTATTTAAGTTTGTTCTTATATTCATTTTAGTTATGATTTTCTCAACAAAAAAAAAATACACATAAAATAAAAATAATTTTAAATTATAATTTTAAATATATAAATTAAACGTCCACTTAATAATTAAGCACAATATCTAACAAATGTGATTATTAAATTATTTATCAAATATAAAATGCAAACTAATATAAATTAAAGCCCGTTTAATTTATAAATTAGAATTATGAAATTAGAATTATTTTTTATTTATGTGTAATTTTTTATAAGAAAAAATACTATAATAAATCATGAATCATAATTTGAATTAGAGAATAAATTCTCCAACCAGGTAGTTTTAGCTGCTAATCAAATTATTATTATTATTTTTTTGATAATTGCTAATCAAATTATTTTCCTTATTCTTTTCACCTCTCTCTCAAACTTCCTACACAATCTCACTCCTTTCATCACTCTCTCTCTCTCTCTCTCTCTCTCCTCTCTCTCTCTCCTCTCTGATATTTGTTCGCTTCACGCTTCTCTCGGCGTCTTGTGCTCAAAAGTGCATTTCTTCTTTCTCTGATTCAAGATCCCTTCTCTCTCTCTCTCTCTCTCTCTGTGAGTTTGGAATTTAAGACCAGCGAAACAATGGTGTACACAATCTCGGGAATACGATTCCCTGCCATTCCCTCGGTGTACAGGATTTCTTCGAGCTCGAGCTTCAATGGCGATCGCAGGAGCACAAGCCTCTCTCTCTTGTTGAAGAAGAACTCGGTTTCTCGTAATCCTTCTTTCTCTATCATATCTCGCGTCCTTTTCGTTCTGTGTTGGTTTGATTTATGCTCTTATTCTGCTTTAAAAGAAGTGATTAATTTTTTGCTTCATTCTCGTTCTGTTTCGGTTCGGTTTCTGCTTTTATTGTGCTTCAAAAGAAGTGATTGTTTTTGCATCGTTTTCGTTTTGTTTCGGTTGGATTTCTGCTCTTATTGTGTTTCAAAAGAAGTGATTATGCATATGTTTCTCTTTTTTTTTTTAAACTTTATTTTTTGCAATTTCTTATCGGATTATTTTTTTTAGTTATTCAGACGAACTGTTGATTAGAATATATATATATATATATTTAGATTTTGTATATTCTGGTAGAATCGGAAAGAATCGGTGTCTTTATTTTATTTTTTTTTCGTGGAAGATCGTATCTTTTACTTGAAGCTTGATGCAGTGTGTGAAAAGCTAATTTCATTATTGTTTTTATCAGGGAAAATATTTGCTAGAAAGTCTTCGTATGATTCTGATTCCTCATCGTTAACGGCGGATAAAGTTCTAGTCCCCGGCAGTGAGAGTGAGACCTCTGCATCTTCTACAGATCAATTGGAAGCTCCTAGCGAAGTCTCAGAGGACCCTCAGGTCTTGATCAAGCATCCATTTGAGTTCAGATGTAAAAGAAATAAATAGATATATTGGATAAGAATATCTAGAAGCGGCATTAACTTGGAAACTGAGATGAAAGTTGTTGTGATTTTTTTTTTTTTAATAAATAATCTCATCATGCTGTTGTAATTTTAGTGTGGGTTCTTCAGCATTTGGTGAACTACCAATAACCAATTTTTCATTAGCGGAAGGGGAAAAACAGAAGTAAAATAGAAGGAAAGCAGTAGAAGTGTTTGAATTTGTTGTGCCACTTGCTTTTACTGGTTATGGTACATGGTTTCTCATATAAGCTGGATACACATCCATGAATGTTTTCGTACAATCCAGGATATCTTATTCCCTTAATAACTAGTGCCGGATCTTCATTTTGTTAATGCATTCTCTGATTGTAAATGGTGATAAACAGCTTCAAGCATTGTTGGCATCGTAATTGGTGCCTGATACTTTTTTCTTTTTATGCCTCTATCATCTCGATTAGGTACTTGATGTAGAGAATTTGATAATGGAGGATGATGAGGCGGTTGAGGACACAGTTGTCCCCCAATCCCAGGTGTCTGATGATGATGATAAAGCTCTGCTTGAAGAGACATCTGATCCTTTGGAGGTGGTGGCAAGTACTAAAACAGTTGAGACCACAGAAATTAAAAGGACAATTCCACCCCCAGGCGCTGGTAAAAGAATATATGAAATAGATCCAGCATTGAACAGTCACCGTCAACACCTTGATTATCGGTGAGATATCCTTTCATCATTGCTTATATAAGCTTATAACTCTCTGCCTGATAAATTAAATATAACCGATGATTACCAATTTTCCTTATGTCAGTCTATTGCCTTTTCTGATTGGTGTGAATGTAATTTGTTTACCATTCATGAACCTTATTTTCTAGCATGTTGCCTTTTGAGGTAATTATTAAAAGATTTTATTCTGGATTTGGAGGAGAATTCACTTATTTTATGGCTATCATCATCTTATCAATCCTTCTTCTTCTTGTTTTCTGGATTTGGATGAGAATTCACTATTTTATGGCTATCTTATTTTAATCTTCTTCTTCTTGCATTAACTGTTTTGGATTGAACTGCAAGATTATTTCTGTAGTAGGATTTATTTTACTTTCCAGCAGCAATATATCCTCATAGCTCTGATTAGGTGATCACCTCTGCATTGCCTTGAAGCTCTGTCTGCATTGCTCTATTGCAGCTGTTTTAACATGAATGATAGCTGCAGATAGATGGCAGAGCCTTTGTTCCTTTTTTAATTTATTTAGTTTCGAATAAATTCCGCAATATGTTTGGTCAAAAAAAAAAAAAAAGTTGCTTTTAAGGAAATAGGCAGTCAGCCCATGGGGAGCAAAAAGGAGGGCATGGTGTGGGATAGGAGCTAAATTTTTAATTTACTTCTGTTTGTACGCTAGCAGCTAATTCCTCCCTCCAATGTGCAACCCTTGGGCAAAGTGTTTGTTGCTTTGGACTGAGCCATGCATCTTTTAGATCCTATCAGACATGCTTAATTCTACATCCAAACAGGTAGAAACTTTAAACGGTATATTTCTTTGTACAGTTATGGACAGTACAAAAGACTACGTGAGGAAATTGACAAGTACGAAGGTGGTTTAGAGGCGTTTTCTCGTGGATATGAAAATTTTGGTTTTACACGCAGGTAACACTCTTCTTTATATTTTTTTCTTTCCAAGTAGTAGCTTCAGTACGTACAAAATGAAGAAATAATGCGCATGGGTAAACTATCAACACACACTATAGGAAGGTAGTTGACTGCAAAAGAATAATGTATTTCCCATAACCCTTGTCCAAGTTTCTAAATATTATCTGATGTGGCGAGTGCATAGTCATTTTTGAAATTAGTGCATTTAATTTGATATTTATAGCTAGTTGTATTTCAGCAATTGGAGAATGACAATTTGTTTGCCACATGATATGACATAGGAGTTGGGATGTACACCAAATAGAGCATAATGAAGGAAAGGTTTGTTACTATGATAAATATCCATATCTTAACAATGGCACTCACAAGGGCATTGTGTTAAGCAGCTGAAGCTGGCATCAGCAGATATTAAAGGAGTAACTTTTAGTTACTGGGATTTGTGCTTGGTAGAGAATTCAGCAGATTGTTATGTTTTGAATGCTGTATTCTCCTGGCTCTTTCACAACTGAGAATTTTTCAAAGACAGTATCAAAACCTCCAGCTGTTGAGGAAAATTGATTTATGCCTGTACTACAGTTAGATGAAAGAATTTAGCTCTTGGAGGCTTTATTTTCAGTCACTTGATGTAGGAATAGTTGGCACGATATATGCCATCTTGCTTTCATTCTTTTTCAATCTCTTTTACTTTTATGAATAATCCTCTTTCAATCTTGATGGGTTTGTATTTCTTTACAAAGAGAGAGATTAGTATAGACCTTTTAAGAAACTTTGACCAGGTCCCCTATATTAGGTTACCGTCATCTGTGGTGGCACACTTAATAGCATGATTGCTGATTACTGTAAAATTTTTCTTGCTTGTACTAAACCATGTTTTTGCCATGTCTTTGTTAAGTTTTATTTAGGTGTTTTACATGGTTACTCTCATTCTGTTTAATTTTTTTTTTTTAATAGTTTTGGGTGCGGGATCTGGAAGTTGGAACAACATTTATATTAATAAGGTCTTGCAAATTCTGATTTTCTCCCAACTGTTTTTTCAGTGAAGCAGGTATCACTTATCGGGAGTGGGCACCTGGAGCGAAGGTTCGTTTTGACTGTTTAGGATCAGAGGCAATTTTACTTTCACTATTATCATTGTTGTTGTTGTCTTTGGTGTTCAACCATGTAAAATTGTTGACGGAATTGTCGTTGTGCCCATATGGAAGCAAAATCATTTTTTTTCTTCCTTTTCCTTTGTTTGCCACTGGTATGATCTGTGCCATGGTTAGGAGTAATGAATGTCCCTTGACTGCTTTTTCTGATAACTGATATAGGCATATGCATGGTCTCTTAGTTTCTGGTCACGTTCCTTTCACCAATTTCTTAAAGTAACTTTCCCTGGCTTAATTTATCAATTAAAACTGACTAGTTAATTTAGTTTGTCTGTTGCTGTTTCTCTCTTTCTCTCTTCCTTTTTTTTCTAAATAAAAAAAAGTTACTGAATACTTACTGTCTTTTCAGTCAGCATCACTGATTGGAGATTTCAACAATTGGAATCCAAATGCAGATGTTATGACCCGGGTATGTTTTGTGTATTAATGGAGAAAAGGCCTACAAAACGCATAGTAGAATGTCTTTGATACGAAGGTCTTAGACAATTAATAGTTACATGAGATTCGTGTATTATATATCAACAGAATGAGTTTGGTGTCTGGGAGATCTTTTTGCCAAACAATGTAGATGGTTCGCCTGCAATCCCTCATGGTTCTCGAGTGAAGGTAACTTTTTCCTTTGCTTCATTATTAGCGTGGCTCTGTGGAATTTTAGTGATAATTTAATATTAAAATTCTTTTCCCATGAAATGTGGGAATTGAATGCTTGTCTTTCCTTTTTCAATGAGATATAGACATATTATCTGTTGGTTATGAAACTGTAATAAGTAGATTTTGAGCCATACTCGCACGAGAAACGCCTTCTGTGGTTTTGTAGAGGATATATCCTTATTTGTCACTGATTTTCACCATACAATCACGTTCTAAATGAGGGCCTAATTTTATTAGAAATGGTATAGAATGGAAAAGGTGTGATTTCTGGGCAAAAGAAAAACTCTGTTATTAGAGAAAAACAGAAGAATTCCATTCATCAAAAGTGAGTTGGAGTGGTTGACTTTTTTTGCTGGATACGTGGACTTGGTTATTAGCTTTTCTGATGCTCATGCGATCTTTAAGATAACACCTAGCAACTCAAATGTGGCTTATAATCTTTGATTATTTCGTTCTTTTCATATGAATTTTGTCTAGTCACAATAATCTTCAATGCAAAATGCCAAGAGTATAAGCTCTTAAAAGTGACTTCATCTTGGCTTCATAATCATAGATCCGCATGGACACTCCTTCTGGCATCAAAGACTCCATTCCTGCTTGGATCAAGTTTTCAGTACAGGCTCCTGGAGAAATTCCTTTTAATGGAATATACTATGATCCACCAGAGAAGGTATGGTTTTGCAAATTTATTTTCTGACAGTTAAATGGTTGGCGTGCTTAGTGGGAAAATATTAGCAATGCATATAAGGGTGAATAATCCTTGAATTGTTAATAGTTGTGGGGGATGTTATTGTTTATTCACTTATGGACAAAACCATTATGGTCATATTATATCTTTCACATTCTCTCGACACCAAAAGAAGCTGAATCAGTTTTAGGGGTAATATCTAATTGCGCTCTTGATCTTATCATTACAGGAAAAGTATGAATTTAAGCATCCTCAGCCAAAGAGGCCAAAATCACTTCGGATTTATGAGTCACATGTCGGAATGAGTAGCACGGTATTCATTGCTCTTTCTATCTCGTGTAGCGTATTATTGTGCAAAATTCATGTAGTGTATTCAACTTTATGTTTCTTGAGTTAAAAATCGCAAACATGTGATGGACCATGTTCCATAATTTTATCAAATTTAATGGACTTGGAGTGGCAGATTCCCTTTTGAGCATTAGAGTACAGAAAGTCTCAAGTGGTCTTGAGGCTTAAAGAATAAATAAAATTTCAAAAGGCATGTCCTTCCCAAATTTGTTTTTTCCAATCATTTCTAGATCTAATATAGTTTTGTAGAAAGTAAAGAGCGGGATTGCGGTTGTCAAGTTTCATGTTCAGGAAACATGAACATGAAAACCAAAATTAGTTACTGCGTGACAACCTTTTAGAAGAGAATTTTGAAGGTCGTCTCAACAGTGCCAGCATGTTAAACTTAAGTATTCCGCATGCATTCCTACTTAATGTATTAACTTCTTTTCCAAGCAATTGGCTGAACTTTTAACCTTCCTTCTTCTCCTTCCTTCTCCTTTAATGCTGCCTTAATGCCTTTTGATGTTTTTTTCTTGTTCTTTTTAACTCTGAGGCAGGAGCCAGTAATCAACACATACGTAAACTTTAGAGATGAGGTGCTTCCTCGTATTAAAAGGCTTGGTTATAATGCTGTTCAGATCATGGCTATCCAAGAGCACTCTTATTATGCTAGTTTTGGGTATGATCAGCTTCAGCATAAGCTCTGACATTTCTATGTTTTAATTTCCTTTTCTTTTTTTTAAATGGTCTCTGCTACGGAGTTTTAAGGGCTTTTTTTAAAAAAATGTTTTGCAGGTACCATGTCACAAATTTTTTTGCACCAAGTAGCCGCTGTGGAACCCCAGATGAGCTAAAATCTCTGATTGATAGAGCCCATGAGCTAGGCCTGCTCGTTCTCATGGATATTGTTCACAGGTATTAACGACTTTGATAGAATATTTTCTGGGAACATCTCTTCGTTAAGTATATATGTTTTGGGCCATATGATTCTTTTCTTTAAATTTGTTTGCACAAAGAGTTCCATTCGATTATCATGCTTCTAACTAATCTGATATCTGTTTGCTGTAATTGACACGCTCCAGCCACGCATCAAATAATACATTAGATGGGCTGAACATGTTCGATGGAACTGACACACATTATTTCCATTCTGGTTCACGGGGTTATCACTGGATGTGGGATTCCCGGCTTTTTAATTATGGAAGCTGGGAGGTACGTCACTTCTTCCATGTCTATTTTAATAAGATAAGCTCGGCCTTAGACTTTTCCTGTTTGTTCTTTACAACCATTAATTCTCTTTTTTTTTTTTTTTTTTTTAAGGTGTTGAGATTTCTTCTTTCAAATGCAAGATGGTGGCTAGAAGAGTACAAGTTTGATGGTTTCAGATTTGATGGTGTGACTTCAATGATGTATACTCACCATGGATTGCAGGTGCCATCAAAGTTTACCAGTGTCTTCTTTCGATGACTCTAACAAAATTAAACTTCTATTCTTGTTTTCTTCTGTAGGTAGGATTTACAGGAAATTACAATGAGTACTTCGGATTGGCAACAGACGTAGATGCAGTGGTTTATCTGATGCTGGTTAATGATCTAATTCATGGGCTCTATCCTGAAGCTGTTAGTATTGGTGAAGATGTAAGTGAATCCCATGAGGATGTTTTATCTTTTCCTTTTCTTCATGCGTTTAATCTCTTGGGAGAAATGTGGAATTAGTACAGTAGTAAACTGAAAATAACTCATGAACCGGGTGCTTTTCTGGAACGAAATTAAAGTAGTACTTTATATTTTAATGTATTCTGTCACTGTTACTACATCTCTCTCTCGCTCTCTCTAAACACATATTGCTTCAGGCTTTCCTGTGAAAAAGATTTCTAGAAATTTCTGTACAATATAAATGCCATTTGGTGAAAAGTTTGTTGAGTCATTACAAAAGTGGCCTGTCAAATTTGTGTAGTCTTGGTTTTTTTTTTTTTTTTTTTTTTTTTTTTTTTTTGGTGTGTGCATGCACCCACGAATGGCCAAATTTGAGTAGTCTTGGTTTATTTTTTTTATTTTTATTTCTTTTGGGTGTGTGCATGCACCCACGAATGCATGTTGATGTTATAGTGCAGTTACAATGTACTTCTGTTTCATGGTTTATTGGTTAATCCTAAAAAATATTCTGGATAGCATTGTTCTCTTTAGTTGTTTGATTCCACTAGTTATAAACATTTTTGGTTTAAAACTATAGAAATATTGGATTCAAAGTCTTAAATCTTGTTTTGAGGGGATAAGCTCCTTTTTACAGGTCAGTGGAATGCCAGCATTCTGCATTCCTGTTCAAGATGGAGGAATTGGGTTTGATTATCGCCTGCATATGGCTATTGCAGATAAATGGATTGAACTTCTCAAGTGAGTTTAAATAAATGTTTAGAGCAATTACTTTCACTTCAGTATGCTTGTAAACATATATCAAAATTGTAATTGTTATCTCTTGGTTTGTTGTAGGAAGAAAGATGAAGACTGGAGAGTGGGTGATATTGTTTACACACTCACCAACAGAAGATGGTTGGAAAAATGCATTTCTTATGCTGAAAGCCACGATCAAGCGCTTGTTGGTGACAAAACATTAGCATTCTGGTTGATGGACAAGGTGTGTAGTTCTTCCATATATTGCACCTTTCACCTACCATGAGAAACATGCACACACAAAGTAGTGTTATTGTGCAAATCTTTGTTTAGCTGATGTAAAATATCATTTTGACCCAAATTCATTTGCTTAATTAAATGGTTTCAACGCACGAAATATGTGATGAATCTTTTTGATGGTGTATACTCATTCGCTTTATCTTGAATTTGGTACATGATTTTTGGATGTATGGGAGACGGTCTTGTATACTTGTAAACGATTGTCTTAGGTCATTATGGTAAAAAAAAAAAGAAGTGAGCTTAACAAAGTTTATCAGGCAACAGTATGGATGAGGCTTGAGTTGCATCCTGTTAAACATACAGTTGCTTGTTCTCTATATTCAGGGTGCGTTTAGTTGCTGTGGGGAATGGTAAATGGGGATGGAAATAGGAATGATAATGGAATAGAATGGAAATGAAAGATGATTCATTTGTTTGATTCTACTTTTACAAATGCAATGGAATGAGATATGAATATTTTCGTATGTTAATATAACTAATATCATATATATTAATAATTAATATAATCATTTAATAACTAATATTATATATATAAAATTATAAGGATATAATATATATAATTATAATTATAGTTATATAATTATTTATTAGTATAATACAATCATAATATATAATATAATAAAATAATGAAATTGTGATTATTTTATATTATAATGTTACAACTATACTATATTATATTATTAGAAATATAGTATAATTATAAAATGTAATAATATAATATAACATATTATAATTATAATATGTAATATAGTATATTATCATTTCTAATTATAGTATATTATCTATTATAATATAAATTTATATTGTAATTATATAAATACTTAATTATAATATTATAAAATATAA